AAATAAGTTACATGGTGTGAAAGAAAGTAATGTGACATTTAGCTTTTTGATTGGCACATGAATATCCTAGATAATCGTTTATCGTCCTTCCCCTGGTCCTTTTTTAAAGTCTCACCAATATCTGTCTTGTTTCATTTCTAAGTTTGTTTATTCCTCTATTTATTTTTTAAGGATTTTCCATTTTTACGTCTTTGTGACAAACTTTCTTCAGCTTTCTGGACAAAAATGATTGTCTTATGTTTAAGTTTAATGAAATACTGATGGATAAATGTACACAGGTACATAAAGCTATTGAGAGGCTTACAAGGAAAATACACTCTGCTGCTGTATGTTTCTGTATGATATTGTTTCAAGCCCCCTTGACAATGAGGAAGGCGAAATCGTCTGCATTTTTACCCGTAACGCTGCGTCCTTACTCGCTCAGAGTCACCTGCGTGGCTGCCTGAGGCATGTGAGGCTGTGTGACACCTCCGGGTCAGCGCGTGTGTGCCCAAACCTGAAGTCGCAAGACGGACCATGTGAGAGAGAAGGATGTTTTCTGACAATGTCTTCAGCAGACTGCTGCTGCTGGTTATCGGAGGGTGCCATCGCCCTCGGGAGTGTACTGCACTCCTCCATCACCAACACACTGCAGACTGCCTGACGTGCTGGTATCTGAGCAGGATCTGCCCGTGTGCGGTTACTGTACGTACCTGCAGAGTTTGAGAAAATTCCCCAGTGCTTAGTCACACACTGCAGCCTGCAGGTGACACATCAGATCAAAGTGGAAGCGAGGTAGACTCTGTGCTCTTTCTCTTCTGTATTCAAGACAAAGGGAGCAATTATATCTTTTCTGGCGTGGTCAGAGGATCAGTTACATTTAATGGGCTCATCTTTCAGTGAGCTCTAAGATTATGAAAGAGCGTTGAGATGATTGTTGAAATGCAATCAACAACCAACTGAGGACCAATTTACACAGGAAGTTATTGTTTCCCTCCTTCTCACTTTTTGTTTAATATTTCTACCAGCTTGGGCCTCAGTGTTTGTGACTAAAAGTGTTTGACTGTGGACCATTTCCGGTCAGTTTGTCCTGCAGTTTCAACACAATACGAATGTCAAGCCAGTTAAACTATTTTTTCGAGATAGCGGCTAAACAATGGAGAGCAATCATCTTGATACGCCTTTTTGTTTGAATAGCTGCTGTGCGTTGATCTGTGTCTCACTTACCTGAAGACTGACAGCCGTTCTTAATATCTTCAGTTAGATCGTTCCGCAGCTTTTTGCCGCCAAGGTACCACACCATGTGACAGCGACATTACTAAGATGCCTTCAGCAGATTAGATCTGAAAGCTCAATACAGGTCGTCAGTCACATGTTTCAGTGCTGACACATTATATAATTTATGAATTGGCGTGAGACATTTGAAGGCCCATGATTTATACCCACTTTTGGGAAATTTGTTCTGCGAAATATCCTCCTGTGCAGAGTACAGGCTAAATATTTCAGATGCTGTGCTTTTTTTTTTAGAAAAGGTTCATGTTTTCTGACATATTTCCTAAAGGGTTTTGTTGTTCAGTCATAAAGGACAGTGAACTACGCGTTAGCATTTTTTCACCACATGTTTTCCTCTTAGCTCAGTGGCTGAAGCAGGTGTTTTATGGTCTAGTTCCATGGTCGGTAAACAATTACCATTTTGTGTGTAGCGGAAAAACGTACTCTGTGATGTCTGCTTCTGGAATATTTCAGCTTTTTGACTGAATCTTGCTTAATAAAATATTTATCCTCTCTCTAGCTGCAAAACAAGCCTCAAACATGATTGACTGTTGCAGTGATTAATACTAAAAATGTGACTCTCTTGCTTGAGTTTCTTTTTTTGAATGAACATTTGCTCATTTTGACAAAGGTTGTTTTTTTAACACTGTTTCTGAAACTTCTGCGACCCCATTTGAGAATAAGTGGTTCAGAAAATGGATGGATAGATGTTTAAGTCAATAATGATACTAATACGACAATATTTCTGTTGGAAGTACTGCCTTGTATATTATAGTATAAACTTTCCTGACATCTATTGAAGTAAAAACTCAACAGAATCAATACGAAAAAATCCTAATCATGTTTTCCCGAACCAAGTTCAGGGATGGTCACCACTCACCCTTTTTTGAACGTGTTGGCTCTGTCTTATTTGGTTGTTTTAGTAAATTCATTGAAAGAGTTCATAGGGTTTCTGATTCAGAGTGTGATTGTACCCTTGGTACAAGCACCAGTTATGTCTGACCACTAAAGACCTCAGTCTCATAAACTGTAAAGAGATGTTGCCTTTACAAATGTAAAGGACGTGCTAAATGTTGTGAAAATGTATTAATAGACTTAGACTTAGACTTAGACAGTACTTTATTGATCCCTTGGGAAGACTCCCTCAGGAAATTAAGGTTACCAGCAGCAGGGCAAAAAGTATCAAGTTAGAATTAAATTAAGCAAAACAAAATACAAATAAATAAATAAAAATACAAAAAATACAGATTAAGTACAGTGTATGTGATATCTCTTCCCCCTGTCCTGTGTCACCTCCTCGCCCCCAGTGAGTAATGTTCATAAAGGCAGAATTTGCCAACGACTCATTACAAAGGTTATTTAAAGCGTAAATAAGCTTTTCTCTTAGATGAAAAAGAGCGTGTGTACCTAGCTTAAAATGTTAAACATCTTATGTTTGATGCATTTTAGAGGGGTTTTGATCTTTAGCTTCTTGTCAGTTATTGTCAGATATTTCATGCAGGCCCAAAATGTTAGCTTGTCCCTGTATGAAACCAGGGCTTCTCTTTGCTGAGGGGTGTTTTGTAATGCTTCTTATGGTTGAGCGTTAAATCAGACCTTGTGACAGAGCAGCATTCCTCCACCTCATCTTGACACCCTGCTGCCTGACTGAGAACTGTCTGTTTTACAGCCTTTTGAATGACGTGCTCTCCATCATCTAAGGAGTACAAAATGATCCCCAATGGTCCCTTTGAGCTTGTTACCATAACAATAATTACTTTTCTGTGTAATTTTCCTGTGACGGCTTTACTCTTGACTATTCTGTAATGGGTTCCCAACCTTGGAAGAACATAAGAAATACCTTTCCTAGAAAATAATGAATGAATCAAATGAATCTCGACAAAAGGAAACTCAGCCGTTTGTTCTCAGGTGAACTTACTCATATCTCTCCAGAAAGAATAATGAAACAGTAAGAAAACTAAAAAACGTGGCACGTGGCTGCCTTATCTTGGACACAAAAAAGGTATTATGCTTGAAATAGTTGCTTTCTCTGAAGAAGTAGTAACAATAAAGCTCATAGTCTGTTGATACTTTTTAATAGAGAGCAGTTTTGTCAAATGTACGATATAAAAATTGACATTTTTTATCCAAAATTTTTATTGATAATCAATAATAATTAATAATAATTTTTCCACTTTCCTGAAGTGGAATCAGAGTTTAATCAAACTGTCTACGTGTTGTTAGTTTACCGATCATAACCGGAGCAAGCGCACAACGCGACAACACATTTTTTAACAAATTTCAACAGAAGACTGCAATATTTTAAGTTAAATGGATATTGATTGAAGTAACTCTTCAGAACGTCTTGCTATAGTATTAAAAAATCCTCCCTCATGTTCTATTACATAAGGAGTTGAAGGACAGTACCTGTATGTTGAAGCAGGAAAAGAGATATCACCTGGAATGTTCTTTGTGTCAGTCAGAGGGCCATACCTGACACATGATGGCTTACACTGGAATCTCCTCTGTTAGATGATGGATGATATCTGTAACAAAACAAACATGAATTGAGTAATGGCTGAGGTTTGGGGCCTAATGAGTGGAAACAAGTGTGAGCACCAACTCCTCATTAGATCCAAACGTTTGTGACTGCTAGCTAGTGAGGAAAGGGTAACTCAGTTTGGTGAACTGTAGTTGGTTGTAGGAATGCTTTATATTTTCATGTTTTAGACTTTTCAAGTTCCAAATACGTCAATAGATAAAGCAAACAGACTTCAATAATTTCCACTTTGAGCGTCACGTGTTTGGTTCATCTGTTGTTATCTTAATCTTATTTCCTTTAAAAGATTTCTAATCTTATGATCAAATCAAATTGAATCTCTCAGGCTGTATTTTTTCCTGTTACTGGTTGCATCAATATCTTTGTGACTGTCTTCCAAAAGTTATGGTTTTGATTTTCACGTGTAAAAACATGATTTTTGTACTTGCAAAATATTACTAAGTCCAAAGGCCACACATCACACAGGGGACGTGGTTGTTCGTGTGCATTAGTTTTTGCTCCTTTCAGCTCATATGTGACTTGTTTATTGCAACGATTATCAGACCCACAATTAATCACTGGCATATATGTAAATGTGTAGTACGATTTAGAAGAGGATACCCATGTTGTTAACCCACAATTCTTAAGCGGGAATGTAGACAAAGCATGCCGCGGACACGTAGAAACAACGTTTTTCTGATTAATGGAAAAAAACGCCTTGTTCCTTTGTGACAAAGTGACAAATTGAGCAGCTTTTTTACATTATATGAAATGTAAGGCTGATTGATGGCTGTGTTCTCCAGAAAACCGTCTTCTGTTTGTACAAAGCACAAAGCAAAGATCTGAAAATGATCCCTAAGTAAACAACTCGAGCCTGTAGGTATCCTTTCTGTTCCTACAGACACTGAATATTTAAAACTCTGACACAGTTGTGTGGTGTTTGCCATGTTTTGGTCCTCCCGGCACGTATGAGTATTTTGAAAAAAATGAATAATTAATTGTTATTAAATGCCTTTTCCTTTACATTCACTTCATGCAGGAACTTTTTTTCCTCCTGTTGTTGAATACATAGAGTGTTACCTGCCTTGAGATCGTAAAAACAGGAGATAAGGAGTGGTTCCAACAGGTATGATGAGTCCACACCTTTCTTGTGCGCGTTGGAGAAGGTCCCACCTACTGCTGAAGATGTGTGTATATATAGAGATGCTGGCGCCCAGCTTGAAGTCACAGACCGAGGATTGTCCAAGAGGTGGTCGTAGCATCATCAGGAGAAAGTCATCGCCATGGGGAACTGCTGTGAGCGCGCCGGCAACTTTTTTGGCCCCCAGAAGAACACCAATGTGCGTGTCAGTCTGCCGGCCGTCTGCTTCGTCTGGCAGATCGCTATGATTATTCTGTTTGGGGTTTTCATCCGATACGACAAGGAGTCCGACGCACACTGGCCAGAGACCAAAAGAGAGGAGAACATCACCAGCGATGTGGAGAATGACTTCTACTTCAGATATCCCAGTAAGTACAAGGGAGGGAAGTCCCTCTCCAACCTGAATGTACACATTTACTGTTGGTAAATGTGTACATTTGCTGTTGGTTTTTGTTTGTTTTCTAACTTATTAGCTCATCACTTGTTGACACCTCTGATGATTTGTTACTCTTTAAAAGAGTTGACATCCATTCACTACAATCACCACTGCAACAGTTTAAACTTTTTAATCTGCTGGAGCGTTTGATTTGAATTACAATTAATCGATTTTATATTACAATCTGGCAAAACTTAAACCTAGAAATCTTCTGGTATAATTTTCTGAAAAAAGACTTTGAGCCAGCTGATTAATGCTAATAAACTGGCATAATGTTAGTATGCCATTACAATGCAGTCTTTATTACCAGCTAGTTAATGCAACACAAAATATTTTTGACTGCTGCTTTCCTTTTTTTTATCACAAAAGTTTCTTGTTACATGTCTTAACCCAATGAAACCCTAAATCACTTCAATCCTTCCAGGTTTCCAGGATGTCCATGTCATGATCTTTGTTGGTTTTGGTTACCTCATGACCTTCCTGAAGCGCTACAGCTACAGCGGTGTGGGTTTCAACTTCCTGATCGCCTCCTTCGGTCTGCAGTGGGCTCTGCTCATGCAGGGCTGGTTCCACTCCCTCGACCCAGCCACAGGAAAAATCTACATCGGAGTGGAGAGGTGAGTGTCTTATCCTCTGGTTCTGTTGCGTAACTGGAAAAAATTAAACCACATTCTTTAACATATCAGGAGCGTTGATCTTAATGAAGAAATATTTCCCGTCTTATTTTCCTTCATCAGTCTGATCAACGCTGACTTCTGCTGTGCCGGCTCACTGATTGCATATGGTGCCCTCCTTGGCAAAGTGAGCCCTGTCCAGCTGATGGTTGTCACTTTATTTGGTGTGACACTGTTTGCTGTGGAGGAATACATCATCCTCGACCTTCTTCACGTGAGTCCCACCAGTCACACGAACCTTTAGGAAACCAAGTTATTTTCCCTATGGTGAGCTGTCCCCTTTGTGCTGAGGTCAGCATTAATGCGTTGCTGTGTCCACAGTGCAGAGACGCTGGCGGCTCCATGGTCATTCACTGCTTCGGCGGCTACTACGGTTTGGCAATCTCCTGGGTGCTCTACCGACCAAACCTCCACCAAAGCAAACGCCTCCACGGGTCCATTTACCACTCTGATTTGTTTGCCATGATTGGTAAGTGACGGGCAATCTAAAATATCCACTTGATCTCTTTTAAACCTTACACACGTGATTGTTTTGACATGGACACTGTTGATTTTTCGGATTAATTCCGACAGGCACACTGTTCCTGTGGATGTTCTGGCCCAGTTTCAACTCTGCCATCACAGACCATGGCGACGGGCAGCACAGGGCAGCCATTAACACCTACATTGCTCTGGCCTCCTCTGTTCTAACCAGCATAGCCATCTCCAGCATGTCTCAGAAGAGAGGAAAGCTCGACATGGTAAAGCTAGAAACGTGTACACGCACATGTTCACATCGATCTTGAATGGCTCAACAACCAGACATGCAACGCCCTCATATTTAGGCTAACCTTTTCTTTTTTTTTAACCTGACAGGTGCATATCCAGAATGCCTCCCTGGCAGGTGCTGTTGCCATGGGAACGGCTGCAGAGTTCATGATCACTCCTTACGGTTCCCTAATCGTTGGTTTCTGCATGGGAATCATCTCCACTTTTGGCTACCTGTTTGTCACGGTGAGCATGCAGTCTCAGTTTTCATAACTCTGTCTCTTTGGTTTCAGTTACTGCTGCTGGTGGGGGGGAGATGTAGAAATAGATATAGATTCATAAAAATACCAGGAACTATTGTCACATAACAACTCATCTGGTATGTGGTGTTACTGGAAAGTACCAGAATTATATGATGTGATATTTAAGGTGCATTCACTTTCGGTGCTGCCTTTAAGACAAACCACCTTCAGCTAAAATGAGATGAGGTTTCTTTGAAAATGAAAACAATTTTTCTTTCGGAAATACTGAAAGAGCATTAACTAATGGTAATTTCCATTCACAAATTATGTTGAGGTAGAATAACTATGTAAATGCCTACGGCCGACACGTCATTTTGACAACAGGTATTCTGAATGAAATCATAGCTATTGCCTCGGCAACAGAGATCTAACCATCTTATCCCTGTTTACCGTCATCAGCCCTTTTTGGAGAAGCATTTCAAGCTTCAGGACACATGCGGCGTCCATAACCTGCATGCGGTACCAGGCATGCTTGGTGGTTTCATCGGTGCTATTGTTGCAGCAGCAGCCACAGAAGAAGTCTACAGCAAAGAGGGGTGAGGGACAGACACACACACATCTAATCTGTAACGAATAAAAAAAACCTGGCTGGGCAGGTTTACTGATTCATCTTCAGTAGAATCTCACATGCATGCAACTGGTTTTGATGGATCAGATTAACACCCGTGCTCAGTTTTACTAAGAAGCACATTTGGGGGTTAAAGGGCTGTTTCGAGACTGATAGATTGTTGTTTTGCATCTGCCCAGGTTGATCAATACATTCGACCTGGAGGGCAAATTTAAAGACAGAGACCTGGGAACACAGGGAGGCTTTCAGGCAGCTGGAACGTGTGTATCAATTGCATTCGGACTCATTGGAGGAGCCATTGTTGGTGAGTTTATATCATTATGATTCTTAAGGTAAAGCTGCAGAGTTACTTGACTTTTTTATTTCGAATAGTAAACTAAGAAACAGTCACATCTAGGATGAACATTTTTGGTATAGTTACTTACCATTTTTGCTTATTCGTGAAGGTTTCATCTTGAAATTCCCCATCTGGGGCGATCCTGCTGATGACAACTGCTTCGACGATGAGACTTACTGGGAGGTGAGAGCATTTCCACCACTAGATGGCGCTCTCGCCCTTTGAGTCGCCCCAACACTCACACATCTTGTTTTACAGCTTCCTGAGGATGAAGAGACCGTTCCTCCTGTCTTGGAGTACAACAATCACATGATTCACAAACAGCAAGACATGTAAGTTAATTCCCGTTTTTAAATGAGTTTATTCTCCCTGGCAGGAGGCTCCTGTTAACACTAGCTGTCTTTTTTTTCCCCACAAGCAGATCTGAGTCAAACTTCTCCGTGGAGCAGAGTTAGAGCCTTGATGTAGGGAACCAGACTCATCATACAAAGCTGAACTTGATGCCACTGCGAAGAAACACGTATTTATGTTTGAAATGAAAAAATGAGCAAAGATCTTTCGACCTCTGATGTCCGGTAACATTCACACCTGCTCAGTTTGTTAAGGATCTAATTATTGGAAACCTGTAAAAAATAATTGATTCAGCAAATCAATTCTGACCAAATAATCCATATTATGCCAGCAGACGTTTCAGAAAGAAAACAGCTACTTTTCAAACTACCATATCAGATTTATTTAGCCCCTCTCAATTTAGAAGAAAGTGGTGGAATTTGAATGGAAAATGTCAGGTTTTGTTGTGAGCCTGTATAATATGATATCAGAGATACTTTGTGTAAGTAACTGAGAGAGGTGCTCTGAGAGCAATTTCCATGAGTTATTAAATGTATTTGTTTATTAGTTTAGCTGATATATTCCAATTATTAAGGCCTATAGACCTTTGTTTGTGCCATTGTTAAAAATTGTCTTTTGGAATGTATTACATTGCATTTCCAATATAAGAGAGGGTGTGTAAGAATCAAAAAGTATTTGTGCTGTCAAATAATTAAAGTTTTTATAATAGCATATTTACTTATTTTTATCAAACTACCTATGGTTAGATGTAATGTACTATATGTAAATATAATTTCACCTGGATCCCAAACAAAAAAGTTGACTAATCTTATGGTGGAGAAGAAAGTCTGAGGAGCCATAATACAGCGTCTTGCAGTGTATAATGCTGTAGTTTTGTACATTACCTCCAATAGCCAAAGAAAGTGCATTTGATGGGAACCTCTCATTTTTGTCATACTTTACAGACATAGTATGCTGCATCAGTGACTGGCATCATAACAGAAATATGACAAAAAATACCAAATTATAAATTATTTCAAATAAAACTAGTAAATATTTGACAGCTGCTATTTAAATGCTAAAAAATAGCTTTTTCAGTTTTTGAAAACTGTTCTGTAAACAGAACAGTTTGGGCTGAAAATGTTTCCAGAGGTGCTCCAGTTGCTCTATTCTAGTATTTTTAGTAGAGGGTGCACTACTCTGGTCAAAAGTAGCCAATGATGCATATGTAAGACGCATTGTTACTGTATAGATAGTTAATGCACTTTCTTTGGATGTCTTACAGTACATGTGACTGTATGTGATAGGCTGCATATTATATTGACATGTTATTATACCAGATGTAAAACATCATTTAATGCATTTAACCCTGGTATTGAAATAAAAATATTAAAACAATACAGCAGTGATCATTTTCTATTAACAATTATGTCTGGTGTGACAAAATTTTAACTAAACTGATCCACTGCTACATTGAATAATGCAAACACTGCAGGGAGTGTAGATGCTGTCAAATCCCATCTTACCGAAAGAGGAGTAGTGGACAGCTACTGAATCATTGTACAGACAACACAGTTCTGTTAACTGTTTCGGGATTTTATTCACTATTTATACCACAAGGCGGTGCTATGCGGTAGTTGGCATGGTTGAATGTACTGTTACATTTCTTTCCATCCAAGACAAACATACGTTTTAATTAATATTTCATGTGGTGAGCATATTTCAAATCCAGATTTGTTTGTACACATACCTAATATTGGGTCACATGGTTTGGTGACCCCCAGAGGAACAAAAATCAGTGAAAAAAAAAGATCAACAGTAAATGTTTTGGAGCCTAAATATATATTGCTCAAGCTTGATCCCAAATCATGATCCCATAACATCTGTGGACCATACAAAAGCCCAGAGTGATGGCAAAGAAACCTTCAAACTGCGGAAATTGTCCAAACTATAAATAACTTGTGTACAGGTACAATGACAGCTTGATTCCTGCAAGGGCAATAATGAGTCTTAATTTCAGTGTAATTAGTATCTATATACTGGATTTTCACTTTTTACTTGTTAGTGAATTGAGCTTTTATGTAAAGACAAACTCAAAGAGGAAACTTTTGTGTTTACTTTTCCTTGAATTGACCTCTGTCTGCCTTTAACTATTAATTCATGTGAAAGGACAGAGAGAGCTACCTTAGCTCAGTTGTTTGTCGAAATTATTTAAGCGTCTTACCCTTTGTAGCTGCCTTTGGACTGTGCCTCAGGAGATGCTGAGACTGTGAGGCCAGCTCCCTGTGGTCATCGTGGACACATTAGTTTGACTGAGGCTTTTGGCCTCCTTGCTCCCTCCATTCAGATGGTAATGAGGCCTGGACAGGCTTGTCAATGGGATCACCTCCTGACCAATCACCGTGACATTAATGAACTCTAAATGCTCTGGCTGGACATGTTCTGCATGTTGGCTCTGTCACATCAGCTGTTTGCAGAAGCTTTATTGAGTTAGGAGGTCTCTAAAACAGTTGGATGAGGTTAGGCAAGTTAACTGCAGGGGTTAAAGCACCACTGGTCAGAATTTGTTGCACGCTAGGACAGGTACTGAGGACGAGTTTCAGGCCTCGTTAATTTAAAGGCTGAGTTTAAATTCAGTTTTCCCTGTAGCATATTTTACAGACACACAGTAGCTACAGCAGAGCCTATATTGATGAAAGACCAGTGTTTTTTGGCTATTAACACTTTTAAATTAATTGCTTCAACTTGTTGTGTTTATGATGCAAAAAGAGACAAATCGCTCAACATGCTCTCACTCTCACTTCCATTTCACAGTGAATTAAAAATACAGAATCATTATCGACTTAAAAGCATATTCAGAACCGTTTATGATATTATTTGAATACAATGGGTTGAGCAAAGTGTGGAGTTTTCCCTGAGAAAAGAAAGCTTTCAATTTTCACATTCTTTGTTCTCCTTCAGAAAATGAGGTCACTTTAAGGTAAATGTTCCTTTACATTCATTTCAGGCATTAATTGCTTTCACAGATTTTCTTATAGAAAACACACATCACCAAATACTACTAATAAAACCATTTTGTTTTTTTATGTGCATATTTATTTTGGCTATATATGTGCAGACAATGAAATTACCGACATAATGGAGCTTGACTCAGATCAAGAGTGTTAAGAGAAGGGCAAACCTTTCTTGCGGAAAGCATGCAGGAAGTGGAAGACAGAGGCACTCTAACAGAGATATTTCTCTTCAATCACTCCACAGAAGGAGCTTGAGGGACCTGATGCCAGAGCAGAGTAAACGCACCTCCTCTTGTGAATAATATGACCCCAGGGAGAGTGTTTGTGAAACCACTTGGTCTGCTATTGTCCTCTGGGGACTAGCCTCCTCTGAAAAGCCGCAGAAAGCCTGTAATCAGATTAAAGGTTGCTGGGAAAGGGAGGAGGGATTTTAAGGACTAGTGAAGAGGTCGTCAAAGTTCTCTAATCAGAACCTGCCATTGAAGTGCAGAGGAGAGGCTAAATAACGCAGCAGGAGGGGAGGCGGGAGCCAAGCTGGAGGGACAAATTGGCCTGTTGTTGGCGGGGGATAGCGGGACAATGAAGGAGGGGAGTACAATCAGCGAGTGTTGAGTCGGAGAGAATAGGTGCAAAGGAAAAAAGGAGGAGACTCCAAAGGCAGCGGCACAGTCCCATATTGCCCTGGCAATTATATCACCTTTTTGAGCTGATTGGTGCAGAGTCCATGTGGGTTTTTAGAGGAATGGAGCAACCTGGGTTTTCCCACTGTCTCTAATGAATGATCTGCCCACACCAAAGAGCAAGAAAACAGGCGTTGTTCGTGCCCATATGTTGAACAGCTTCTTTGCTACATGTCAAGAGAGAATTATTAGTCACATTTTTAAGCTTTCTTTTGACTCGGCCTGTGAACTGGCGTTTTCTCATCTGAGAGGCCGATGATGTTCGGTAGTGAGCCATCATGTAATGAACCACCATGTAATGAACCACCTCCCAGTTCTGGGCTTGTAAAGCTCATGTCATATGACAACATGTCCAGCTGAATGCAGAGCTCCACCAGTCTCCCTGCTGGATCCTTTCTGTCATTGTGATTTCTCATCAAATGCCCACTACCCAAATACCAGGCACAACTAAAGACCAATCACTACTTTTTTACACACTTCACAAAAGTCCATTTGTTGGGGTCAAAGGGGAAAGTCTCAGGGGGGAAGACGTCTCAGTCAGAACTGGCGTGGAGGAGAACCAGTGAAATCACCATTCATGACGGGGGTGTGCTTTGATTTGGGCACAAAGGCCACTGGTTCCCTGCTTAGATTGAAAGAAGCAGAAATCAGAGCTGGTTAAAACATGTGAGGAATCCAAACTGAATGGTTGAGTTAATGAGGTGCACCTGTCCCTCAGAGCCCTAACCAATGCTAAAGAAATAATTGGAGATGCTTATAATACAAATTAAAAAAAAACAGCTTTTTCTACCAGCGTTTTGCTTTTAACAATATCGACAAACAACATCGACAATATGCAACGCCAGGATGTCGACAATTAACGTTTCCTTCTACGGCAAAGTTCTTACAAAATGAAAGTAGGTCCAGTTTGGTTGGATATTAACACAGACCTCCGGAAACAGAGCAATCAAACATTTGTTTTTGAATTACTAACTGCAAGTAACACCGCTTAGATGTTGGGCACAAACATCAATGCCGGAAAAATGACCAATAAATATGTTTTAGAGCAAAGTCAGTGAGTTTTAGAGGATAAAATCTGCAGATGGACTCCAAATAAACTTAATCTTTACTCTAAAAGACATTTGAGATCATGATTTCATTGGCTGCTCTCTTGTGACATTATAAGAGGAGTGACATTGGAAATAAAATTCTAAAGTGAGACGTGTAGCACAGCTACATCGTCTCTATTTGAGTCGTGTGTCTTATTCATTTCAGGCTGAATTTATTTTTGTGTTGTGCTTCCATAAATGCCCCAATTTTATAGTCACAACTCTTGGCCAACCCTTGTCTATTGATACTGCCTGCATTATATCAACAGGTAAGGGGGGCGTCGGTATCTGTGTGAAAGTCAAAGACCTGTCATCAACTTAGACCACGAGACATGGTTAGTACTTTTCTTTCCCCAGACCTGTGCTAAGTACTTATCTGAACCAACCAGATGCTGTTAAAGAGAATAGTATGACAATGGATATGAGTGAACATGGCTATCTGTCTCATTTTTCTGTGACTGGCCTTGTGATTGACCAGCAACCTGTCCAGGGTGTACGCCACCTCTTGCCCCAGTGACAGCTGGGATAGAACCCCCACCCCACCCCCTCAGTCCCCAGAAAATGGATGAATGGATTTTCTCTCTCCAAATTAATTAAGGCTCATTAATTAATTAAAAGTCTTGCAACTCATGATTAAGAAAATAGACTATTTTTGAAAATATAATGGAAGGTGTTTTTGTGAACATCAACACAATCTATTAATTTATTTTGCCAACATAATTTCGGGTAAACAAGGTCTGTATGACTAATGACATAGTAATAATATTCAGGATTTAGAACATGTATCTTTACACTATCAATCCAAACAACAGGCATGAAAAAAATTGCTTTGAGGAAAGTAGAATGTTTGATTTTGAAGCCTGTGTTCAAAGACTTACAGCAGCACAGAATCATTTTTACAACTACTTCAAATTTGAGAAAGAGGGATTTCTTCCTACAGTGCCAACAATGTGCAAAGTCCTCGTTTTATATGATGAATTAAGTTAATAGAATTTTAACATGTTCAACAAGAGGTAAATGCACATTTTGTTCAAACAGTTCATTTTAGTCAATTAAAGCTTAGCAGAGACGTTCATTTCCTGTCTGAAAGGCTCTTTTGCCACACAGCAATTACTTCACATTTTAGAAACCTCAATTATTGGCCTAAATTACTGACCACCCTAGTTCCCAACGACAATTGCTCGCCAAAACAGATTAAAAGCACTGACAGCATGGAGCAAAAACACAGATTTCACAAAAATATTAAAAGTAGCAAGTTAATGGCTCTGACTAAATTTACAGAAATAGATACATTACACTCCAGTGAAACCAGTGTACCAGTGAAACACTCTTTTCTCCTGCACTCAACATTAATCTGCAGATACTGAGAAGCCCAGCCGGGAGGGAACTCTTCTGCATTTTTGAAGAATGAAAGTTAAGATTTATGTATAAAGAAATTACACTGACACTATCGTTCACTCACAGAGTGGCTAGGAGCCATGAAAACTTTCCACACATAGGAACACACTCAGCCTCACACTCTTCCTCTGTCCATGACTGGGAAAGGGTCTTTAAAGAAAGCAAGAACAAGAGGCATGTGTACCCCCTTAGAAATATATGCATTTAATCTTTATGTAGTAAATTACACAACAAAACGGGCACAGGAAATAGTGGATTTGTCGTAGAGTAAGTGTAAGGAGCAATAAAAGTGATCTAAAAACTGAGTTGCACAAATTGAGTTGGAATACACAAGTAAAGATTTTCAGGCAATTTGA